TCTATGCGCTTTGCCTGGAACTCTTGCCCTTGCTCGTCTTATCGGTCTGCCAAGCTTCCAGCTCTCTTCTAAGAGCCAGTTCAGGAATGACTTCTCTGTGAAGGCTTCCCTGACCACTTGATGAGAGCCCTTTGTGTTTTCCTTTGGCACTGCTGAACTTGGTTCTTCCTTTTTTCAGTGCTCATTACCCTGCAGCATTTCAATCCATCTTGACTGTACATATCCCTGGTGCAAGATTCTGTGTTATGGAGCCTAGTACAATATCTAGCAAAAGTAGGTTCTTAGTGTTTGTTGATTGAGGAGATGAGTAGTAAGGGAGGAACTAGGGCCTTTCCAATATAGGAAAAGAGAGAAGCCTCTTCTCACAACCTGAGAAATGCTACTAGGTCATAAGCCACATGGACCCACTAAGGAGAATCCACCCTTAAATTGAAAAGTCATCTGACTACAAGAAGGCAACTTAAGGCTCCCAGACTACAGAATGCATGGAGGTCAATTTTCCATAGTGGCTTCTTGCTATCTTCACAGTATTTTCTTTGCCACTTTCAGCAGCTGCTGTGGCCCACTCACTGAATTAATGCCCTGAGTGTCAGGACACAGGAAGAGTCTGATGGTCAAGTTCACATGGTCAAAAGGTCAGAACCTCAGCATTTCTCATTCTCTCCCAAGGGAAGCGTTACCCTTTCTCAGGTGCACCCACCATTGATCTCCCCTCTTTCCTGACATGTATCTATCTACAACCTTCCTGTAGCCTTTGAGCCCATCCATCTCCTGGCCACTCACTGGAGAGCTCTCACTTGTCTCTGTCAGTACCTGGAACTGAGCATATGCTCATGAACTAAACAAATGAGTTAACAGATAACCTGGGTTTCAGGGAGGCCAAACTAGCATTTCTCTCACATGTACAGAGACCCTGTTTGGTGTCATATGCCATTTTTTGGTCTCTTTGGTCTCTGAAAGCACAGGAGGCAGAGTTTTGCCTGACACAATTAAGTGCTTAAAAGCTCCATTTGTTTGTTTGTTTGTTTTGCAACAAATCTCTTCCTCTCCAGTTGCAGCCAAAGAGAAAGTATAGACTGTGAGGCTGCACCAACCAGCCCAGCAGACAATAGGGCCAGAGAGTTTACCCTTGCTGCTCACACAAACAATACCCAAAATTCAACACAGTTATTCAACAGAGAGCCTTGGAGATCTGGGTGCTTCCTTAGATTATAGTGAGTTATGTGGCTTGGATACAGAACTGACATACAAGGTGTATCTATCCCTGGCAGTTTCTTTGGAAAAGCTGTGCTCAGAAACACTAGAATTATCTAGGAGATAGATACAGCAGGAGTGGACCCCAGAGATAGGTCTCCAAGAAGAGCTCTCATTCCTTTCATAAAGAAAAAGACCCTGGGGAACTCTCAGGGAGAGGCCCAGGCCTGGTTCAGCTGCTGAGATGCAACCAGGCCAATTAAATAATTGGTGTGATGGGGAAAAAAGGGAGGCCACGCCCTCCAGCCAACTCCCACCCTAGACAGAAGGCTCTATGCAGCTGCAACAGCAGCAGCAACAACAGGGCAGGGATTTCTTCCTCTTCCTCCCACTAAGCTGAGAACTAATGCTTAAATTAGCACGTTAGAAACACACAGATCTGCTGGCTGTGCCTTCTCTTCCAGCTTCTGCCACTTCTCTAGGCCTCTTTTTTAAGCTTGAGTTTTTCTCTTAAGTAAGCAATAAAAAAATAAAGATGCTTTTCCTCTAGAGCTCATCTTTCCAAATAAGGCATGGCCTTTGGATTTTTCCCACCACTATAAGTAGGGGAGGGTTATTTGATGATGGAGCCCATGTGACAGACATGTGTAGTACAGCTTAGTCCAAAAAGAGGCAATGATGCTTACACCAGCATTGCCTTGTTTCCTTTAGGGTTTAAGGAGACAGCCCCCACTCTGCACTCAGAGGGGCTCGCAGTGGGGGAGTGAGCAAGAACAATACACTCTGAGTTTCAGGAAGGCAAGGCCATATCTTTGACTATGTTGCTAACAACTGTGTCCCCAATACCTAGTGTAGTATCTGGAACAGAGTATATATTCAATAAATATTTAGTGAATGAATTTGCTGAATCAGTGATATCAGGTCCCTATGATATTCTTTGGAAGAGAGAGTGAGGAGCTATTGTTTAAACTTTAAAGAGATAATTTGTCTTCATTTCATAAATGGGAAAACCAAGTCCAGAGAAGAAGAGGGACTTCCTAGAGGTCTCAATAAATAATGGCAAGAAATGGAATAGGGTCTACGGCCATGCCACCCTGAACAAGCCCAATCCTGTCTGATCTCGGAAGCTAAGCAAGGTCGGATCTGGTTAGTACTTGGATGGGAGACCACCTAGGAAGACTAGGTACTGTAGGCATACAAAATGAAAAATAAGGGATTGTAAGCTGACAAGGTCCTTGCAATCTGTGAGGTCAACCAAGGGT